TAAATAGTACAATAATTGAAATTTCTTTTGAGAGCCAAATTTTTTAAACTTAAACTTTTTCTAAGGCCACTTATTCAAAATAGACTCACCCAGGTCATGGTATTTTGTGGAAGAGCCACACTCAAGGGGCCAAAGAGCAGCCCACATGTGGCTCACGAGCCATGATTTGACTACTACTGTCCTAGGTCAATCATTTGGATGAAAACATGGGAGAATGTAAAAAGCACACAAAAAAGGAAAAATGATATATCACCTGCTGGATGTTAAAAGACAAAGTCAAAGTCCGAGATTGTATTGCTTCAATTTCCCAACAAATTATTTAGAAACTATACACAGGTGCCTCTGTGCTTATATTCAATATAAACCTAAAACCGTATGGACCTGCTATAGATCTGAGATCCTTCCACTAAGCAAGCTGGTTCTCAAGAAAGTATAGAAGAAAAAAAGTCAAAAACAATTATTATCTTACTTGTAAACATCTCTAGTGAAAAAAGTTTAAGGGAATGTTGAAAGTCAATGGCTAAAATACATTTCAGATATTACAAATGATTTTTTTTTAATATTTTTGCCATTGTTTCTCATAGCCAACTCAATTAAACTGGCTGCCCATTCATCTTCTGATGGGGAAACAAGAATGAAAAATGGTTTTACATAAAAAAGAATCTCGTGTGGCTGTATTAGTCCCACTGACAGGCTTTGAGTTTTTCCCTCTCTTTATTACCCTTTCTCAGTAGTAACACATTCCACAGTATTCAGATCACATTAGAAATCTTATTCTCCTTTTCTGATCTCTATAGCAAAGTTTCAAGTACCTAAAATGTTGGGCCACCATACTGGAGAGTGGTAAAGAGCACAAGCTTTCAAATCAGACAGACCTTTGAAACTAGATACCTCCCCTCCCCCAACTATTAGCTGAATAAATTTGTTTTCCTTTGTAAAATACATGTTTTATGTCACAGAGTAATTAGAAAATTAAGAGAGATGATACATGTAAGCCATATAGCACAATATGTGAGAGTGCCTAGAGAAATGGCAAATATTATGATCATCTTTGCAACAACTGAGAACAGTGGTAATATTGACATGTTTTATAAAGGAAGAAAATCAGATTCCTTTAAAGCCAAAGGGTTTTCAAGCCCAGTGAGATGAGTGGCACTTTGAGAAGCAGGAGCTACCAGCAAATGAAGGGTACAGCAAGAAGAAAGAGAAGTTCAAGGGAAGGGAGGGTGAAGTTTACCTGGAAGAGTTGGAGGTATTTCCTCAAACATCAAGACTTGAATTGTTCCCTGAAATACAGCTCAGTCTTCAAATGCATGAAGGAGTAGGAAGGCCATTCCAAACAGACATAGCTGTGACCAAGCAAAATATTTCAATGCAAACACACCTGCTGGGCCTGGGTAAAACTGGGCAGAGTGATTTGGTTAGGAATCATGATTGGAAATTAGGTGGAGTCCAGGTTGGGAAAGTCAGACTGAGAAGTTCACGTTCATCCTATAGTAAATGGGAAAGCACTGAACTTTTCTCAGCAGCAGAGAAATATATCCAGAGTGGCAGACTAGAAAAGTTCAGAGGCAGGGAAATGTGAACTTAGGGCTGGGAGAAGAGGTCATGGAGACGAGGAGACCAGTTTCCCCACCCCACCACAGGCTGGGCCAGTGTGCCCTGTCCACACTGGAGTTGAAATGGGACAGCTTCACAGTGTCCAAATCACTTGCTTACTATTTGTCCACAGAACGAAGACAATGACAGACTGATGGTGCAGGCCTTTCTTGGGTTACACAGATTGAGAACGAAGCTGGGAAGGAGCATAGGCTAAGAAGAAGCCAAACATTTAGCAAGGTTGAATCTAGAGTCACTAAAAGCTGGGTTAAGTAGCCTGAAGTGGGATTATAAATAAGGATTGAGGTCCTTATAATGGATAAGGCAGGTGCATCCTGGGCAGGGACAAGGGCAAGGAAGAAGGAGATTCAAGGTCAGGAATGGGGCAACCATAAGAAAGTTTGTTTGCTACAACAAAGGGAAAAAGTTAATTTTATGAGGTTACTCAGGTTTTTCTTTACACCACTAGCCCTAGGGTGATTGTTCTAAGTATAAAACACAAAGCCCCATCAAGGCAGACAAAAAAAACAAACAAACACACACAAAAAAAACAACTCATTTGACTAGAAAAGAAATAAATCACTATCGATAGAAACCAAGACAGATGGTAATACAAGATGAGCAACTATGCTTGGCACTTGGCATTTATTATCTCCTAATCTTCAATTCTTCAAGTTGTTACTGTTACTAGAAAATAGATTCATAAAAGTTGTAAAGTAAGCTGTCCAAGGAGAATAAATGGTCACACCTGACGCCAGGGAAGTTTTGAACTGGGAACTTTCAAGGCAGTTTGGTAAGAGCACCATGAGAAAAGCCCAGGCCTGCAGATGTGAGTGGTTAGCCCTGCACTAAGGGAGAGTGGCAGGCATGGAAAAAGACACAAACCTGAGTGACACTACACAGCAGCAGTGATCAGGACTTGGTAGACAGAGACCGGGAAGGGTAAGCTTACCAGACTGGGAGAGTGCTTCTAACACTTCCAGAGAGGACTCCGAAGCCAGCCTGGGTTTTAGCCAAAGACAATGAACTGGGTTTTAGATGTGTTGAGCTGATTGGGGGTGGGGGGGGGGGGGGGGAGAGAGAAGGGAGGTTGGTAGGCAGGGAACAGCTGGGTAAAGAAATCCTGACAGGTGGGTGGGAATAAGAAACCAAAGTCCAGAAGAAAGGCTGAGCCCTAACATGTGGCTTTGGGATCACTGGGCCATATGGCAATTCAGCAGCATTTCTACGGTTTCTTATGTGAAAGAACTCTGTCTATATTGGCTACAAGAGCAGACTGATGTCTTGCCAACCTTCAGTAAACATGCAAGAATTCTCTCTGCCACCACCCCTGTGACTAGCCCCAGAAAACACACACACACACACACACACACACACACTTTAGGGTTCTCAGTCAATGACCCTTCTACACAAACTCAAAGCAAATGGCATGTTATTTAGTTTCAAATGTGCCAAGTTAAAATGCTATGAAAGCATGTGGGCTTTGACTTTTTAATGTTATTCAATCGATGTCATTAAAACAGAGGATTTAGTCTTGTCATTATTCCCTTGTAATAATGCCTTCTGTCTGTCTGAAAAATTGAAGAGCACTCGTTTATGTCGCCTAACCAACTTATTTGGGGGAATGTTAGATGGGTTAAAGACAGCAAAACCCAAGTTTCAACGTGCACGTGGGGAGAAGAAGAAAGTCCATGTCAAGTGTGAATAATGTCCTGCCACTCAGCCTGAGCCCTGCCTCCACTGACTGTGCAGTCTGGCTGATGCAGTAGTGAAGACAGATCCTTTCTCTCCTTCTCTGGCATGCCAGCCATGCTTAACACCCTAACACTTCATTAACATGCTAATGTGTGACGATTATTTTGTGCAAGTACCATTGTAGATGATTTTGAAAGGCTCTATCAACCACAGCTACAATGCAGGGACCTAAGTGCTAACTCACCATGATTAATAAGAAAACAATATACTGCTCAAAGGCTTTTTTTGTTTTGTTTTGTGTTTTATCTGTCATATGGTTTTTGCAGGTCAACTATTCTTTCTCTGAGCATCAGTGAGAAAAGAAGCTGATTTCTCTGGATACATAAGCCAACTGTAACATTAATTCTACCAGGGGGAATAATACACTAAATGTCAAGATGTCAAAGATAAATGGCTATTATGGCATGGATTGTTGGCAAAAGTAATGAACTAGGAATTGGAAACCTGATTTCAATTTAAGGTTCTCTCAATGTCTCTCCCTCTGTAACCCTGAGTGAGTCATTTTCTCATTGGGGACTATTTTCTTATTTATAGTATGTTGGGTAACTAAAATTTCTTAAAATTTCTTCTTACACAACTACCCATGATCAAAGGATATTATTATTATAACAAATTGCTAACCTTCTAACTTCTATAACCATTTTAGAATAATTTTCTAGGTTATTTGTATTATTAATCTTCATCTTCTATTGACTCCAAGTGTTAGCAAGAATACCTATATCTCTAAGGAGAATAATTCAAACTGTAAGAAGGTTCATAAAAGATGATAGAATAACTGGAGAGACAGTGAAAGCTCCCGCATGGAACAACTTACTAAAAAATATGTTAGTTTTTCTGTTTTAACTTATAAATTTAATATAATCCATGTTAAAATTTCAGTTGAATTTTGAGGAACTCAATAAATTTTTCAAAACTCATGTGTAAAGAAAAAAGTTCACATATACTTTTGGAAATAAAAACCAATAAGGACTTACTTTGTTTAGATATTGATATATACAACCAAGCTTTATTAACAAAATAGCATGAACTATGGCTAAAAAATGAAGAAACCAATGGAGCACAAGTGTGGTACCAAGTTGTTGAGGAAACAGAATACCATATGGAAACACAGAACTGGGCTGCTATCTACCACCATATATACATATGGGCTCTAGGTGGATTAAAGACCTAAATAAGAAAGATGTTAATATAATAGATAATCAAAAGTAAATTTTGTAACAGAGGGACAGAAACAAATTTATTTTACAAAGCTCTCAGAGTAAAATATTGATAAATTGAATTACATAAAAATTAAGATTTCTGTTCACATACACACACAAAAAAAAAACCATAATGGACAAAGTTAATAAAAATAAAAATAAAAGTGACAGACTAAGAGAATTCTTGTCTAAAACCAGCTGGCAACTATCTAGAATATTCAAAGAACTTCTGTAAACCAATAAAAATAAGTAAATACACTTCCAATGGACAAATATGCAATGAATTTGAAGGGGAATTTACAGAAGAAAAAAAATACAAAAGACAGCAAGCATATAAAAAGCTGACCAGATTTATCAGTAGTCAGATAAAAGTAAAATAAAACTAAAATATATATATATATATATATATATATATATATATATATATATATATAATTTTATACCCATTAGACAGGAATGAGAAAAATTAGAAAACTTAATGCCAAATATTAGCAAGATGTTGTATAGAAACACTCATACTACTGGGGGGAGAGGGTGTGACTAGGTGAATCCTTCTAGCGGTAATCTGGGAGGACTTCTGAAATCAAACTGTTTATGGTATCTGAGCTGTATGCACATGCTGTACGGCCCAGCAACTCTGTTGGTCTAGACTAGAGCCTAAATAAATGTCCTTCAGCATTTTCCAAAATGGGGCATGTCTAGGTTGTTCATAGCAGCCTTGCTTGTGCTGAGACAATGTGGAAGTCCTTCCATAGCAGAGAACATAAGTAAATTATGTTCTAGGCACACTGTAACAGACCATGAGCAGCTGGATGCAATGGAGTAGATGTATATATAGCAATATTCATAGGCCTCAAAATATAATCCTGGGTAGAGAAAATAAAAACAAAAGAGAGATATAATACACATAAGTTAAAATGCGGGCACAATAAATCCAAAATATGAAACCGTAGATTTTATAAGAACATATTCACTAACAAGTGCATATACTCTGAAAATTAGGTTCCCGAGTGACCAGCACTGTGGGTAAAAGGGAGGGTCAGAAGCCAACAAGCACACACAAACACAAGCAGGGCCCTATGAAAATTCATATTTCTGTTATCTTCCATTTATGTAACATCAAACAGAAGTTTTACAAAACAATACATTCTTACTTCATACAATGCACTGTTTACATTTTCTATTTCCTTTTTTAAAAAATGTTGGTCTCTATTTATAAAGGTGATTGTATAACCTATCAATGGGTTACGACTTTCCATTTTAAATCACTGATCGAGGCAATAATAAGGGCATTATAGTGAGTTCCTGGGATAATAATAGTGCCACACACTCATTAAAAATTCAAGCACATGAAGGAGAACTGAGAAAAAGACCCTCTGTGCTGCCTTCACCAAGAAACACATCCACAGGGGATTCCCACCAGTCGGAGGCTGTTCTTCCTCATGTGATTCCACCCTAAGTGGCACTTCCGGAGAGTGAACTTTTCACCCCTATGTCAGCCCTGGCTTGTCAGACTAAGGCCAAAACTGAAGCAGGAAACGATATGCCACTTGCTAAGGCACAAAGGGGTATTTTAAAACTTAAAGGAACTTTTTTAAACATTCCTGAAACACATTTGAATAAGATGTAGATATAAGGAAATATGGGCTCTCTCTTGAAAAGGGAAAACTGGAAAATATAAAAAGGGTAGTTCTAAGAAACAAAATAATAAAACAAAAAAATGTGGAAATAGGGTAGATTACACAGACTTCAAGAGAGCAGTAAACTTTGTTAGAGTAGAAGGGGAAGCTACAGAAGAGATAAGAAAGCCCAAGGGCTCCTCTCAATCTGCAGCTCAGTAAATACAAATTGAAGAAAACAAAAATTCCTATTCCAAATCAACTGAAAACTGTCTTTTTAGGACAGCTGTAGGCCCTCCTTATACCAAAAGATCTTACCAGAAAACACATTTATTGGGCCAATATAGAAAGTAGTCATTTTAAAGTATTTAAATGAAATTAGGCACTAGTGAGCTAATTGAAGAGAAAAGGCACAATAAAGAGCATGGCACTGAATTTTGTGCCTTTACAGCTATGCCCAAGCAGAGCAATAAAAATGCGTGGATAGGGTTAGAGACAGCACACCATCCCCTCTCTCTGCAGACACCAAGGCAGCAGCATCTAAAGCCCCATCACACCACTGGGAGCAATGTTCCTTGGAGGGCAACTTTTGTGAAGGGCTAACCAGGAGCCAGGTGTATGAGCTTGTGTTTGAAGTGAGCCTCTCTACCTAGTAGTTATAATCAACTATTTGTAAAACAGAATTAAGTTAGGTGCTATTCAAAATTAAAAAAAAAAAATTCTAAACATTGCTAGGTTACATGGAATCCATACAACCAAAGGATTCTGGAGGAGAAATATAATTAGTATAATGAAAGGAATGACTGCCGGACTATGTATGAGGTAGATAAAGGTAGAGAGAGAGATGAGCTGGCTGTACAGGGGGGCGGGGCAGAAAGCCAATACTCTACACAGCAGGTACATTAAAAAGAGATGAGCACAGAGGAACTATGAAGTTGTTCTAGTATATTACCAGTTACTGGTCCTTGCACTCACGGGTATTCAGAAACTGCAAAAGTACACATATCACGTTAAAGAGAACGACCAGCTACTTTCAATTTTGATGAAAACATGGCAGAAGAACAATAAGAGTGAAAACTAGCATTTCTTGAAAAGGTTCTTTAGCTCACACAACTGCCAGTTCTTACAACAACTCTGCGAGGTAAATGATATCCCCTTTCACCGATGAAGAAACAGACTGTCCTAGATGCTGACAGAAGTCCTCAGGGATACACAGGAATAAGCATGTGGCAGAGCCAGGATTTCACCCAAGACGTTTTTACTTCAAAATGTCTTTACACTGAGTGTGATGATGCCGCAGATCAATTAAGTGAGAACTGAAGAATGTCTTCTATTTAAAAAGAGTAGAAAGGGTTAAGTTCTGGAAATTGCCTAGTTTTTATTATTTTACTATGGTTATTCAAGATACCATCATAGGAGAAGCTAGGGGAAGGCTACATGAGAACTCTACTCACTTTTGCACTTTCTGGTGACCTAAACTTACCTGTAAGTAAATTTTTAAAAAATAAGAATAATTAACTTTTTGGAAGTTTATCTCACTCCTTTTCCTTTGGAGATGAATGTATGATATATTAGAGATATGTCTTAGACATAACTATATATCTTTGATGTATTCCAAATATAAATATCTATTTGAGGTACGTATATATTTCTTCTGAAAATATATTGATACTAGAGGCCCAGGGCATGAAACCCCTGCACTCAGGGAGGGGGTGGTCCCTCAGCCCAACCTGTGCCCTCTCACAGTCTGGGAGCTCCCCAGGGAAGTCCGCCTGCCTGTTTGCTGCTCCTTAGCACGGATGTGGAGGCAGGAAAGGCTCCCGCCACTGCCACTGCACTCACCAGAGGTGAGCCTGGCCTCTGGCTAAGCAGCGCACCCCCTGAGAAAGCACTGACCACAAGGGGGCAGCTCCTATATTGAGCATCTGCCCCCTAGTGGTCAGTACACATCATAGTGACCAGTTGTTCCATGTTTGGTCAATTTGCATATTAGCCTTTTATTATATAGAATACTCATAATTATGTATTTTTAAAGCTTAATTCTCAGTTGTTTTCAGTGACTTAAATAGCACAAGAGATAAAATAATGGCTGCCTCTACTCTCATTCAACTTTAATAAACTTTCACTAAATACATATTCCTACATGGTACTGGATTATTTTGCCTATACAAGTTTATCTCCTCCAACACTCAAAGTTTTTCATTGTCTACCATGTTTACATATGGCAACTAGGAAAACAGAGCTACCATTATATGTAAGTTGAACATTATAAGAATAAAATGTCTATCCAAAAACCGTTTGGCTCAGTGGATAGAGTGTCCGCCTGCAGACGGAAAGGTCCCAAGTTCAATTCCGGTCAAGGGCATGTACCTTAGTTGCAGGTACATCCCCAATGGGGGGTGTGCAAGAGGCAGCTGATCGATGATTCTCTCTCATCGATGTTTCTAACGCTCTATCCCTCTCTCTTCCTCTCTGTAAAGAATCAATACAATATATTTAACAAAAAAAAGAATAAAATATCTAGCTGATATGAAAAAGATTGTTTGATAAGAATACTTACTTTTTTTCTAAGAATGACTGAGCCACTTTTCCCCCAATATATGATTTTGAAACAGTTACTATTTGGAGTGACTTCTATTGTGTCATTAAATTCATGTACTATCCCAACACTATTAAATAAAAATTAATATGTCCATTTCACATATAAGGAAAGCTAGAGAGATTAATTCGCATAAGTCACACAACTATCTATCTATATATAAAAGCCTAATGTGCAAATTGTCCCCTCGGGAGTTTGACCAACTAGGAATTCCATCACTTCTTATGATGTGTGCTGACTACCAGGTGGCAATGTGGACTGAAGGAAGGCTCTGGCAGGCATCTGGCAGCCAGGGAAGGGAGGCCCCAGCTGGCAGCCAGCAGCCACTAGGAACCCTCCCCGTGCAAGAATTTCATGCACTGGGACTCTAGTTCAGTGATAAAGTGTGGATTCAAATTCAGATCTACATGACACTAAAAATACTATTCCTTTCACTATCTTTGCCCCTCCACACTTTCATTTCTATAATTAAAATGCATCCACTGTATTATTGACCATTCACCCCTTAATAACAAAATATACAGTCTAAGTATATTTAGACATCTAAAAAAAAAAAAAAGCCTCAATCTTCATTCCTGGCTCCTATTTGAAGTTAAAGTTTATTACTGAAGCTGAAAAGAAGTCTTTTAAGTATGAAAGAAATGCAAGTGATATTCCAAGTTACAATATGTGTGTGCTCAAGTGGGAAATATGAGAAGAGCATCTGCCAAATTCATTTTGGCCTCATTTGATACTATCTCACTGATCTGGGGCCAGCTTACATTTGTTGCTCCCTCTCTCTTTCCCTCCTCCATTTCCTCTTCATTCCAGAAGCATACAAAAACCGTAGTAAAGAAGCTGGATAACCTCTCCAATAATACACTGAAAACACTATCAAATAAAGGAATGGCTATCTAGTCCAAGGATAACCTCATTTCAACTAAGAATAACCTAAAACACTAAAATAAAAAGAATCTTTATGGGATCATAAATAACAACTGGAGATAAAATTACTTAAAATAATAATTTTAAAGAAATAGATTTTTGGAGACAAATTCTCAAAAGAACTAATTCAGTTTGTACTTATGCACAGGGCTTTATAATTTAGTATGAGTCAAACTTCAAATTGTACTTTTTAATTCAAACTTTTTAAAAAGTCTTTAATTAAGTTAATTCTACTTCCAGCTTTTAACCCCAGCACTGATCCCTATCTGCTCAACCCTGACGCTAATGAATCTCAGATTTCTGATACTTGTAACTAAACAGCATCAAAATTGAGCATTAGTTTTGAAGGTCTACAAATTTCATGATAGTCTCCTGCACATCTACTTAAATTTACAATTGTTTTAGTCTAGAATATGTAAGTGGTAGTATTTTCTTTAAAGGACAATCAGTTCTCAACCAGTTAGGCTTTTCAAAATGGTTATTTTACTCCAAGATATACACCCAAGAGAATGGAAAACATACATCCACAGTAATTTTCAAAGTGGTATTATTCAACATAGCCAAAAAGTAGAAACAATCATTAATTGATGAATGTCCATCAACTGATGAATGAATAAACAAAATGTGCTACATTGTAAAATGGAGTATTAGCCGGGACCGGTTTGGCTCAGTGGATAGAGCGTCGGTCTGTGGACTGAAAGGTCCCAGGTTCAATTCCGGTCAAGGGCATGTATCGGGTCTAGTAATAATTAATGTCGTTTTTAAACATTCGTTTAAAATCTTGCTTGGCGTTGACTTGTATTGACATAACCTTCAAACACGTGGTATCTACAGAACGTGTGAAGTGCAATTAACAAGTTTTGCTTGAAAAAGTTTGTGTTTGGTTTGGGTTTTGTTGCAAAACTAGGGCTAAGAAGATGGCGGATGAAGAGCATATTCGGCACTGCATGCTTTACGAGTTCCAATTAGGAAGAAAAGCAAGTGAGGCTGCAAAAAACATCTGTAGTGCTCTTGGTCAAGATGCAGTTAGCGCCAGAAAATGCCAGCGTTGGTTTGAGAAATTTCGCGAGGGAAATTTTTCGTTAGATGACAAGAGTGGTCGAGGCCATGTGTCCAATTTTGATCAAGAAGCTCTTCAAGCTCTTTTGGTGCAAAATCCTCAAATTACCCAACAAGAGCTTGCGACAACTTTGAATTGTTCACAAAAAACAATTTCCAATCAATTGCGTGCACTTGGCAAAGTCCAAAAGTTTGGAAAATGGGTTCCTCATGAGTTGACCGACAACAACTGTAATCAAAGAGTCACAATTTGCAGTTCGCTCCTCTCTCGTCAAAACCGTTTGCCGTTTTTAGAGCAAATTGTTACCGGAGATGAAGAATGGGTGCTGTATGTTAATGTGAAAAGGCGGCCTCAATGGTTGGACAAAAATGAGGCTCCGCAGCCCACGCCAAAACCTGACTTGCATGCGAAAAAAGTGATGTTGTGTGTTTGGTGGAATTTTAAAGGAATCCTTCATTATGAACTTTTACCATCTAACCAAACCATTACAAGTGCAGTGTATAGTGCCCAATTGGAAAGGTTAGCCCAAGCTTTAAGAGAAAAAGAACCCGAGCTGATTAATCGGAAGGGCGTAATTCTTCACCCTGATAACGCACGACCGCATACTACAAGAATCACTGCTGAAAAACTGCGCCAGTTGGAATGGGAAGTTCTCCCTCAACCTGCATATTCTCCTGATATTGCCCCTTCTGATTACCATTTGTTTCGTTCTTTGCAAAACTTTCTTCTTGGAAAAAAATTTAATAATGAAGAATGCCTCAAAAATGCATTGACCAAATTTTTTGCATCAAAATCACAAGAATTTTACAACAGAGGGATTAAAATGCTTCCTGAGCGTTGGGCACAAGTAATAGAAAACAACGGCAACTATATTGTTGATTAAATTTTGTTGTATTGTTTAAATAAATTCTATTTTAAAAAGTATTAGAAAACGACATTAATTATTACTAGACCTAATACCTTGGTTGCGGGCACATCCTCAGTAGGAGGTGTGCAAGAGGCAGCTGATCAATGATTCTCTCTCATTGATGTTTCTAACTCTCTATCCCTCTCTCTTCCTCTCTGTAAAAAATCAATAAAATATATTTTTAAAAATAATAAAAAAAATAATAAAATAATTTAAAAAATATATTTTTTAAAAAATAAATAAAATGGAGTATTATTCAGTCATAAAAAAGGAAGAAGCATTGATACATACTAAAAGAATAGAAGAACATGGATGAATCTTAAAAACATTATATTAACTAAAAGAAGCCAGAAACAAAAATCCACAAATTATATTATTCCATTTATATAAAACTAGAGGCCCAATGCATAAATTCATGCAAGAGGCTCGGCCCTCACAGCCCTAGCTTTGTCCAGAAGGTCATCTAGAAGGTCATCTGGAAGGTCGTTTGTCTGTACAGTCTAATTAGCATATCATGCTTTTATTATTGTAGATGTCCAGAAAAGGCAAATTTGTAGAGACAGAAAGTAGATAAGTGATTTTCAGAGGCTGAGGAAAAAAGGGGAATGGAGAGTGACTATAAATGGGTAAGGTAATGGTGAAAATATTTTGTGATGATGAAAATATTCTGGAATTACAGCATGGTTATAGTACCTGTGGACAAAAGCCAATTAATTCTGTGACTATACTATTACTGAATTGTCACTTTAAAATGGAGAACTGTGAGACATATGCATTATATCTCAACTAAAAAGAAGAAATAAGAATGAGCAGATGGAAAGAAATGAAAATGTGGCAAAAATGGTAGGTGATAAAGAAGAAGGGGAAGCTGATGAGGGTTCCAGAGCATGAAAAGCAGGGAACAACGAAGTGGGGCTGAGTGGGTGGCCCACCTTCCACTTCGGGCAAAGGCACAGAGGTGGGCGCTGCCTACTTGGGTGGCTGTAGATTCAGAAGCCAAGCGAGTTGACATCTAACACTTCTCTTCTGTCCATGAGATAAGTAAGCAACAAGTTGGCAGGGCAGGAAGTCTGAGGTGAACAGAGAAGGTTAAGAACAACCTCTATAGAAAGAAGAGAGATATTGAAAGTCCTCCAGATTTGCTTTTTAATAAAGCTTCAATAGTTAAGAGTATAGAGCAATCAACTTAGGCACAAATGAGCAGGGGATCTCAGGAGAGATGTTCTCTGTCAAGCCTCCAGCATCCTTGGACTAGAGTGTGAGAGGCTCTCCTCTCGCTTCCTGCTACTGTGTACAGCCATGGCTGCATCTTCAAGGTTCTCCTAGTCAGCTTATCACTGTGTAAGTCATGCAGTAAGCAGCTTCTTGGTTTAGTATCTGAGGTCTCCTCATATTTACATTATTCCAACAACTAGGTACCGGAGACTTCAAAGATTGATAGGAAGATGACTTGTATGAAATTTTTCATAACCTTAAGGGAAAACAAGGTATTCATGTGTCTTATTTTTTAAATTGGTTTTCATAATTCTCTCAACATTTAAAAAAAACAGAATCTAATTTGATATGCTTTAGATCAAAACATATTAATAGTTATTTTCTATGCTTTGAAATGAATTAAATTAACTTACCTTCATTGGTAATGCTGATGTCAAGTCAAACGCTGAACATTTTGTCATAAATTTCCAAATCAAGATCTAGATCTCCATGGAATATAAACATGGAATAATGCCACCAGATGCTAGTACCTGTGGACAAAAGCCAATGATTTATTAGAGCATTATGGGAAGCGGGGGAAAGTGTTGTATAGCTACTGCCCAGTCTTCAAAAAGTACTAATGTGTTTAATTTCTACATATTTGACAAATATATACTAATTATGTTAACATTTTTTGAAAGCTTCCTATGTAGTAGGTACTTTTGCACATGTAAACTCATTTGCTTCTTCTTCCAACACTATGAAAAAAATATAGCAGCTCATACATATCAGAGCCAGGATTTGAACCTGGGGATTCTGGTTGTAGGTCCTGAGTTCTTAATCACTACATGTACTGCCTTGACATGCATCCAGGTACAATACTCCAAAGACTCTTAAAGCCTAGAAGGTATGAGGAATTCTAGTTGATTTACTCTCCTGTGGTTACTTGTCTTTCTCAAAATATACAAGTGTGATCCAAAATTTTAAATATTACAAGTCAAGATGAGTTATAAAGAGGCTGAGTTAAGGGGAGGAAAAGTGGGTTTAAATTTTAAGCAGAACTGCAACTAATGGGCTATGTGTTGGGCCTGATTTACTCAACTAGTTGATCACTAATGTGTGTATAGCTCTAAAATTCCCTGGCAATGAGAAAAATGCATATATTCTGTGAAGCTCTCACTTCTTCCACTGCAGCATGTTTTCATCTATCTGATCAGGCATTTATTACCCATTCCTGTAGGCTCTGCTCAGGGTCTCTCTCCTCTTACTCTGCCAATTGGTCTCTTCTTTCATTGTATACTTTGCTAATGCTGGTCTATCCTGGATAATTTGGCACTTAATAGGTTACTAGACCATTTTTTTTGTTTATTTTTAATTTTTATTGTTGTCATTTTTCAAACTTTTTTAGAAAAGAAGCAGAGCACAAATAAATAAAACTGCATAATACTTAATTCTCTTAAGCATTATGTATGATATGTCATGAACTTGACTAGAAACCTTTTGGGGACAGGGAGTCCTTAAGAGCCTGGGGCAGGTGGCAGGATGCAGAGGACATTATGGACAATACTGCCTAGCAGTGCAGTCCCCTCCATTCGGGGATATTCTGTGTGAGCTGGCTCCATTCGGTGAATAAATTTACTTACATTTGCAAATATGTAGACATGTTGAGATTCAATACGTGAACCTGAAATAAGACCTGCAGTCATTATATCTCCTAGGTATTTCTGCCAAAGAAAATATTTTTTATCTTGATTCTCTGATTTTCCAACCTTGTTTTCTTTGTGTTTTTCTTTGATCCTGTTATTATTTCCACTTCGCTTTCTAAACATTTAAAATGTGTTGCCTCCCCCTTGTAAAACAGTAAAGAAATCCTAAGGGCCGGGGCTGGCTTTGGGGATCAAAGAAGCATCATAAGGAATCCGTACAAGATGTTAGTATCCACCTATGTGAAGAGGGAACAAATGTTCAACTAACAAATGGCATAACTTTTAACGACCATCTCTAGTCTTTACATAAATTATAGATATTGTGATATAGCAGTAGCAAAAGTAGCACTCAACAATAAACACTTTAGCCGAAACCGGTTTGGCTCAATGGATAGAGCATCGGCTTGGGGACTGAAAGGTCCCGGGTTCAATTCTGGTCAAGGGCATGTACCTTGGTTGCGGGCATATCCCCAGTAGGGGGTGTGCAAGAGGCAGCTGATCGATGACTCTCTCTCATCGATGTTTCTAACTCTCTATCTCTCTCCCTTCCTCTCTGTACAAAATCAATAAAATATATTAAAAAAAACAAAAACAATAAACACTTTAATAGCATTTACTCTGCACCAAATATCCATTAAACACTTTACTGGTAATAGTAACATGGTCCTTACAATAACTCCATGACATAGGCCCTATTTTACTAACAAGATAAGAACCAGAAAGGTTAGTTCACTTGCTCAATGTCACACAGTTAGTAACTGGCAGAGGTAGGATTTGACCTCAAGTAGTCTGAGTCCAGAATACCCACTCATAATTTCTTTAATATAAAATGCCTCACCATCATTATGACTTTGTGTCGACTCTAAGACATTCTAATGTTCTGATTTTGAGTGCATTTGTATAGTTATACAAATTATACTACACACCCAGAAAAGCCCTTATTTCATGGCATTATATTTTCTATACAACAATTTCACAAAAATCCAGAACTATTAAGTTTGATTGAATGGATAAACTCCATAGGGTTCTTATGCAAATAAAATAAAAAATAAAATGCATTTCAGAAACTATTTCTTTTAACTTGTAGCCTAGGGTAAAAAAACTAAAAGGTAGGCATTCTTGTACTAATATTTAACTTTTTATTTCAAAAGAATTTCAAACTTGCAGGAAAGTTGTAGGAATTGCTCAAAAAAATGTCCATGTTCTCTTCACCCACACATTCCATTCCAGCTGAGCCCACCACTTAGTAATGGTCATTCCAGCCAAACATCTGGCCCAGGGTCACACTTTGTACTTCGTCGTCCCCTCTCTTCAGTCTCATTGTATCTGGAGCATGACCAGCTCTTCCTTCACTTCCCTGCGCTTACACTATTGAAGGCTGCTAGTTAACTATTTCGCAGAATGCCCCTCACTGGTACTGGCCAGGTTTTCTCATGAGAAAATTCAAGAGTTACATTTTTGTGAACTAATGCTGTGTGCTTCTAATTACATCCCATCAAGTGACACATGATGTCAGCTTGTCACGTCACTGGTGACAGTAACTTTAATCACTTGACTAAGGTCGAATCTTCCAAGTTTCTCCAGTAGCGTTACTGTATTGCCCTAGATAATAAGGGTTGGTGGACAGATACTTTGTGGTTATACAAATATTCTGATCCTCACCCAACTTTCACTGACTACGTTTAGTATCCACTGACATTTCTTACCTGAATTATAATGACAATTGCCAAATTATCTTTCTAATCTCCAAATTCTTTCCATTTATCAGACAGCATCCTATTTTAAGGAAAAAACTTTCTCTCCCCCCCCCCTCCACTTATTCATGCATTTATTTGTATCAGTATGGCCCCCGTGGATGCCTGGTTTATTTAGTGGATAGACTATAATATCACTATTGTTTTGATGTTTAGATACTCCCAGGCTTGCCTAGTGGGAATTCCTTCAAGCTGGCTGCTGTGTTTTTTTTGTTTGTTTGTTTGTTTTGGGGTTTGTTTTTTTTTTGGCATCTTCCCATCATTCTTTGAAAGCATCTATATTTTTTTGCACAAGATTTCCAAAACTCATTTTGTACCTTCTCTCTCCCAGCCCTAGAACCAGAAAATTTTTCAAAGATCTATGGTTCCTTTTAGCAAAGACTGGTATTTAGAGACTAAGATCTGGACCACAAATGTGCTTATATTCACTGGGATGTCACCACATCCTGGCCCTTTCAGTGAGCAGAGTTAGGAAATATGTTTCATTTGTGTGTGTGTGTGTGTGTATAGATGTACGTACATATTCACATATACACATATACTATCACATTTCTGTTTGTTTCTATGTTGAAATTTCTATTTATATTATTTTTCCATATTGAAATTCTTGAGTTCAGACCAATATCTCAAATCCCAGTTCATGGCACAAGGCTCACTCTAGCTTTCTCCCTTTTTTTATATGTAACTTTCTTCGCTGACAGCATGAGTCTGGCTCCCATTACCTTCAATATATTTGCTCATTGGCCTCACTGGGATTTCTTATTCAGATCTTCCTAATGGCTTCTAACTAAATTATTTAAAAAGAAAGAACAAAATTAAGAAAGCAAGCAAGAAATTAATAAAGCAAGAAAGCAATGGCTTGCAATACTAAATTTTTTAGATTTAATTATCTGATATAAACATAACCTAGGCCCTAAGACTAAATATATCAAGTTCCCTTGTCACAGAGGAAAGTTTATAGCTGTTTTCCAATAGCTTCTCACCTGTCTCTCATTGCTGGTAAAATTTACATATTGATCCTATATTTATAACAAGAATTGACATCTGTAAATGTTATGTTATTAATAAAAATGTCAAGAACTAGGTGTCACTATTTCAAAAGAGATAACTGAAATTCTAACATATCCTTGCTGAGCATCCCATCCTATATAATAATAGGATAATATGCAAATTGGCCTCTCGACCAGGAGTTCATCTGGGAGTTTGACCAGGAGTTCAACCAGGGCGCAGGCCTGGCCGGCCAACTGCCAGTGGCCCCTCCCCCTGGCCAGACCTGCCCCCGACTGGCCCCCCCACCTTAATCGGGGTGGGCCAGCCAGACCCCACCCATGCACAAATTCATGCACCTAGCCTCTAGTCTCCATATAGTTAAGATGAGGAAAAGTGGGCCCCCAAAGGTCACAGGCCTTACTCAAGGTCATGGAGCTAATTAGCTGCAACTCCCAATCCCGTTTTAGGTTCCTAACTTTGCAAATCAATATGTCATGCTATGTTTGAAGCATCCTCCAAATAACTAACATCTATTTTAAGATCTGTCCACTGAGAAACATATGGTACTGGGAGCCCTCATGAGAAAAAATATATAGCTGTGAATGTAGCAAGCCTACTTTAAAAAATTGGAAGAGAACAATCTCTTCCATGGGAACATCAACAAAACACTCAAATGCTGAACTAAAAACAGAGTTCACATAACCAGGCACTGTTCTTTACATTAATATTCCAAGATTCCTCCAAGACTCAGGGGTGGGGAACATCCAGCCTGCGGGCCATATAAGGCCCACAAAATCATTCGGTTAATTAAATGTTTGACCAAATATAGCAGGTTCATTCTTAAACTGGTAGTTTTGTATGGCTCGAGAATGATGCTATCCAAAAGGCCCTCGGTTCCCATCCCTGCTCCAAGTCGTCATAACCAGCATCAATCACCACAGTGCCACACGGATGAAGACATGCAAAATAGGGATAATAAGGCCATCTACCTCATCAGCATACTGGAAAGATTAAGACCATGCTTATAAAAATATTATGTAAATGGGGCGGCTGAACTAGACTGTTCTAAGTGGCTCTTTTTTCCCTTGATGTAAATAGCTT